TGTAGCCTGCCTCAGTAGAAGGCAGGTTTCCACCTTCATTACCCAAATGACAAAAATTGCACATTCTAAGTCTCTGGCCTAGAAGATCAGAAAACCGAGGTTTCACTGTACATCTAAAATGAAGAAAACTGATTTCCTTTCAAAAATTCTTGCAGATCTCAAAAAATGGGACAGTACCAATCCCACTCACTTTGGTTCCATGTACCACTAAATACCACTGGAAGTACTTAGGAGCTAAGCTACAACACAACATTGAGTGTTCAGTATGCATGACTCCAGGCACAGTGCTTTAGCTATTAGGTCATAATATCTAGATTCTTTTCTATGTTTTCCCTCTTAATAGATCCTTGTAATGAGGGGGGAAAAAAAGGAAGAAAGTGGTGGAAATCACAGGAGGGAGTGGCAAATTAATGCCATCATCATCTGGATTCTTTTGTTGCCTTGTCAATGAGGCAGGTTGATTGTATTAAGAAAGCAGTGTGATTGTTTGGCAATGTGATGAAACATTAGTACGTTGTTCTGTTAGAATGCAAGTAAAAGTCAGAGTTGGCAGGAGATCTGTGATTTCCTGCCCAGTCCTGACCAGAAGGCCTGTGAATAGGAATGAGCAGCACCTAGCTGACCTTTGTTGATCTCAAAAAAACCAAGCAGTGTCGACCTTCAAGAGAAGCAATCTATCCTATCCTATCCTCTCTATTGATACATTATTGTAATGTAAAATTTTAATTGTTTGTGATCAACTAGTCCTGTGAATAAATGAGTAACAGAATTTGTTTATTTTCAAGTGCTTTTATGGCACTGCAGTCAAAAAAACTAACCAGCTCATGAAACTGGTATACAGGTACAATAAGAAACTGTGCAAAACATACGTCAATAACTCAAAGTCATAAAAAGCATAACAAATGTAATGACCATTTCACCATATCTTGGACCACCAAGAAAGAACAGGTAAAAGGCAGTGAAGTCAATTCAAGAGCTCGTAATTTTGTCATTTTGAGATGGCACCAACAGTTTAAAGGATATTTGTCTATCACCAAAATAAACCAAACTTCCCTTTAACATCTTTTTATCTGTCAAAGTCAGGTAAATCAGAGTACTCCACATAGTCACATTCTGCTTGGTTATACGCTGATTGTCCTATCTGTAAGCAGAGTCTGCAATTGTTCACTTGAACTCTTTAAGCTTCTGGAATTTGTGTTGCTTCTTAAAAAAAAAAAACCCTCTGAGAACCACTGATCAAAGTCTCATTCCAAACCCTTAGTTAAAGCATCTGAACCCAAAAATGTGGTGTGTCAGAACTGGATGGATCCAAAGAATTTTCCTGGTCCCACCAAGTTTTCTCCACTTTAGATGTAAAGTAGAACCACTGTTTTCTAAACCTCGGCATAATGGACTTCTGTTGCAATGTACACCATTTGCTTGATAATGATGTCATTGCACATGATGTAATTTGTGTCATTTGAATATTGACATCATTATACAAGTGAGGCAGTTATGCAAATGATGCAAATTGCATCATGTGTGTAACTGTATCAGTATGCAGATAATGTTATCTGCGTTGTCACAATGACATACTCTTTATTTGGCTTAAAAATGGACATTAATCTATTAAAACAAGATTTCACTGTATAATTAAAAGCAAGAGATAAATAAGAGTTAGCCAGTTAGGAATTAGGAAATGTTTGCTACAACATCTCCAGTGATTCAATTCTATTTTCTTCCCACCTATTTTTAAAATAACTGAGTACAGGTAGTCTCCTGGTTAAGAACGCTTGGTTTAAGGACGACCCATAGTTAAAAACGAAGCCTATTGCAGCAAAATTTGAGTTAAATACACAGTGATTCAAGTTAAATACACAATGGTTCAAGTTCACTACACAATACTACTTATACAATATTACACGATAATACTGTTCCGGCTTACATACAAATTTGACTTAAGAGCAGACCTTGGGAACGGAACTCGTTCTTAAACTGGGGACTACCTGTACCTTTGAAGATGCAGTGGGGATTAAAAGGAAGGATTATAAGAAATTCTGAGGGAAAAAGATATAAATATAAATTGTTGATTAAATTTATGAAGGGCTTTGGCACAGTAGTCTGCAGATTAATCTTAGTTTTCTGGTGAGTTTTCACAGTAATGATGTAGCTCTTTGGGGTTTTGGTTTGTTTGTTTTAGGAAACCAGGGCTTTGTTTAGGAAGAGTTAAATTGAATGGCTACCTGTGGAATGTTTTTAGAGAAGTCGGTAGGAGACAGGCTACGCTACAATGAAAGGACTAATGTAAGGAAGCAGCATTGATATTCAAGTGTCATTTGATGGGTCTCAACTGGCTATAACTTTCAAAAGTACAATCTCCTGGATCCAGGTTCTCATTTTGGCTGACTATGAGTGGAGACATCCCCAAAGGGGAGATGATTAAAAAGATTTTAAAATGTAGCTGTCCAAGTGCCTTTAACCAGATAAATCTGATTGAAACACTCAGGTCAAAGAGAGGGCAGAGGAACAGCGTATTTATAACACGACGTAGCTATCATCTACTTCAATACGTAATGGGAAGAGAGAATTAATTTTGATGATTTGAAACCTGAGTTATGGGCAACATTTTTAACCTCAGGCATTACATGCAATTCTGGGTGGTGATCATGAGCCGCGTGCAAACACAGAAAGGCTTCCCTGACGCAGGATATTTTGCGGTCACTGAGATAGTGAGGAGGTAAGGCCTTTCCTTCCTCATTCCCATTTGCATTCCTGCTCCTGATTTGCTAATGACAAAGTCTCTGACCCTGGTGGGGTCTGCAAAGCCCTGTTTCTCCACGGTCTAGTGACCAAGGCTTTGCAGTACAAAAATGAAAGCATCAGACACTCTGAAGATTCTTTATTATTTAGTCAGACCTAGAATAAGGGCAATGGGGTGAACCTAGAATAAAAATAAAGGCAATTTTATGTGTGTATGCTGTCTCTCTGTACGCGCGCGCGCGCACACACACACACACACACACACCCCTTCCCATACAAAAGATATTCCCATGCAAAAGATATTTCTATATCGGGAATCAATGGAACTCTGAAGTAAGTTCCAATTCATGGTGATCTCACGTACTTGTTTGCAAAGAAGATGCAATTAATAGTAACTTTGTACATATATACACTTGCATACTGGCTGCCTTCACATGACCCACTACTACATAAACTAGCCAACTGTATTTTAGCTCAGCACGTTGTATAAATGCAGGCCACGTGTTTCATTCATGATTTAGTATGTCATGTGAAGCGAGAAATCAGGCAGATTAGAGTTGACAGTGGAGAATGTGTTGTGGACAACCCAGCAATTGAGAAACTCCTGTTTCAACTAAAATGGGGAGACTTCAAAGCCCCAGTCAACCTTTAAACACTCTGTGTTAAACTTAAACTCATCTCACGGATTTGTTGTGAGATAAATAGAGGGTGACCACGTATGCTACTTTGATCTTTTTGGAAGAGAAACAAGAGATTGGTCAAATAATTCTGTAAATCACTGGAAACTCTTTTGTGCATGTTTCATTTTACTGCCTACAGATACATGCTTTTTGTATAGGGAAAACATGGAAACAAATCATAATGCTGGCTGACCCTAAAAATGGTTCTGTCATTAGCTCTTGGAAATTGAGGACTGAGCTGCTGGTTGCTAAGAGCCCCCCCTGTTTATTTGCTGATGGTCCAGAGTAATTTTCCTTGGTAACAAAAGGGAGATGAATTATTCAGCAACTGGCAATGCCAGATGGCATTGTTTACATAGGGAAGGGAGGCAAAAGGAGGGGGCAAGAAGGGGCACTCTCAGACAACATGGAGGCAGGAGGCCATCTGCCCTTCACCTTCCTCTGCTTCCCCAAACACAGGAGAAAACCCATAATGTTTTTAACTTACTTCCAGCCATTTTCTTTTGAGATGGGTTTAAGAGGCTTAGAGATAGAAAAGGATCAGCACTGAAAGCAAACTCTGGCTTCTGCCCCACTACAGAATAAAAATACTAAATACACAGTGTAATTGCAGTGTTCAAGCAGCGGAAGTCACAAGAAATAAGAGATTCCCGCCTCTAACCACAAATGTTTGCTTTGCAAGGGATAGTGAGGTGTGGCAAAACTAGTTACACTGGATTCTTACAAAGAATCAATCTGGGCCGATTCACCCTCTGTTTACTAGAATTATTGGTTTAGTTTTGCCTTCTTTTTTTTTTATAATGACTTAGACTGACTACTCCACAATGGCAAGAATTGACCCTGGCATCTGGAACCAAGCCTGAATTGGGGAATGACTCTTCTTGGGTATGTATCATGAGTTTGCCATTCAAGAAGGGTAAAGAGTTGGTTTGTAGAACTCGTCACAGAACACGAGGAAGTGTTCTCTGCCCCTGGGAGGATCCTCGTTCTCAAGGATAGCCATCCCCAGCGTGGTGCATTATAGATGGGTGATTAGTATGACTTCTGCCATTCTCAACCAGTCTGGGTGGGAGATGTGTGCATTATCATCCAGTGCATCTGGAAGGTACCAGATGTGTCTAGGGGGATCTAATTTAAGGGTGGATGGAAGAATGAATGAGACTAAGCATGGCTTTGCCGGCTATGTAACAATGGCTCTGGGAGAGCTGGACACATCCATCTGTTGGAAGATGGATTGAGTGCCAGGAACCACCAGAACCAAACCCAACAGGTTTGTGTCTAGTTGCTGAGGGCACTAAAATACTAGAACTGCCATTTAGAAAATTTTCCTGGACAGTAAGGACATCTCTCCGGAAAGATCTGAGGAAAGCAAACAGGGAACAGAAGCCAACATATGCTACTCTCAGATAAAATAACCGTGTGAATGCCTGAGTCTGAGAAGCCCCAGGCTGGCATTTTGCCTGATAGGATACAGGACGTGACCATGCAATGCAGCCTCATTCCCAGTGCCTCCAGCTTCCTATTTTGAGTAGGGTTCCTGCTTAGACGGGGATTTATATTTGCTTCCAGTGCAACTGGAATGCAAATTGCTGAACACGCTAGGGAAAAACAAGGGAATTAGAGGATCAGACTAGCACATGTGAGACTGCCTGAGCAGGGGCAGTGTACACAGTGCCAAGTGCTATATCCTTTTGGATATGTTTGGCCAGGAAAAAAGGAAGAGCGGAGGAAGAGATGGGTTACACACTCAGTTGTTTTGAACTGTATCTGTTTAGTGATACAGGACTGTCTGATCATTTGGGTGACTGTGTTTCTAGTCCTCTCTGCCATTAAAAGAAGGTTTCCTGAACATTGGGAGGCTGCAGAGATTCAGCTAAACGTTCTTACAATTTCCTTTTAGAGCATCCTATTTGAGGGACTTGGGGTGGGCATACCAGACTAGAAACGCAGAAATGGAGAGGATGGCATACCGTTAGCTGGAGGCTGAAATCATTTTGAAGTACCAGATTTTGAAGAGATCAAGTCAGAGTATGTGTCGCTTGCCTGCACTTACAGGCTATTATTGGCATGTTTGTAAATAACAGATCGTTGCATAGAAACATTATGTTTCCTGTTCATTCTCTTTACAAAGGAAGCCAAAACCAAGTGAAGCTGCCCCTATAATTTCTCACTTCACAGGGAAGTAGTGAGTACATAATACATATTTCTTTTCCAAGATTTCTCTGGAGTCCCACGTATTGATCCTGTGCTTTCACAAACTAACATTTGCAGTTTTCTAGAACAGGTTTACCTAAGCTAGTACTTTCCAGTAGGCTTTGGACCACAACCCCCAAATTCCTGTCCAGTGTGGTATATCCACTGATGCTTCACACCCACAAGGCTCAACACCCATTCTTAATTCACCCACCCCACTAACATGCCACTAGCTGACTTACCCCATTAACATACCACAGTGTAATGTTTTTCTCTGTGTTTCTTTGATCGTTTCTTAATAGCACACAAATCCTTTTAATGTTAATTTGTCTGCATAATAGAAGCAATTAAAATAATAGAGCTGCAATGGGCCATTTAGACCATCAGTGTTCAGTGCAAGAATCCAAATTAAAGTATCCCCAACAGATGGCTGTCTAGTGAAAGCCCATTGCCTCCCTGGATAAATATAT